ATTCATTTAGATAAATAAAGCAATCTCAAAAAGTCTGCTCAGACGGCCCAAATCTCACTTGCAGCAAATCTCAACCTCAGAATCAAAATGAAATTTGAATCATGTAAATGACTGTGCATGTTTGTACAAACAAACGTGTCATGGCAAACACAGAAAAGGACCGCAGTTTCAACTGAGCTTTTTTTCATTTCCCAACATCGCAACACTTGCGCATATGCATGACCCACTTAGTGGCTCCTTCTGGTCCATCTCCAATCAATCTTGCAATTCGCCTGCGAAACAGCCCTCCCTTTTGAGGCCAAACTCCATGTTCATCATGGACCCTCATCACCCACGTGGGTTCATCTCTGTTTCCTGGATGCGGATCAAGCTTTATTTGCCCACAGTGATCACCACAGTGTTCGCAAAAGATGTCAGACCACAGAATGACCTCATCTCGCCTTCCAGCGATGACCCGACCTGCAGCAGCAGGACGAGGAGCTGGATCAGCAAGAGGCAGTTCACCATCAACAGGGGCAGGTGCTTCAGCAGCTTGTTCAAGTGGCTCAGCTTCAGCTTCTGCTTCCACAACTCGGGCCTCAGGAGGTGCAGCGTCAACCATCTCAGCATCAGGTTGAGGATGCAAAGCCTCAGCAGGAGCATCAAGTCGGGCCTCAGGAGGTGCAACCTCAACCATCTCAGCATCAGGAGCATCGAGTTCAGGCAGCGGCTCCAAAGGCGCAACAGGCTCCAAGGGCACAACAGGGTCCAGCGGCACAACCTCAGCCTCAGGTTGTTTACGTTTCCTGCAGCGCCTTGCCATGGCACCAGCTTTGGGTTTTGCCTTGGCTTTCTGTTTAGCTTTTGCCCTCGCTTTCCGCTTAGCAGTTGCCTTTTTCCATCTTTGTTCAACCAGATTCCAGCCACATCTTTTTTTGTTGTCGATTTCTTCACTGATCTCTTTGAACTCACGCTGATCCTCCTGGGGCAACTCAGCCATAAGCAGTTCGTCTAAACAATCTCCAATTTGCTTTTCCGGGACAGGTTTGTCCATAGAATCCTTGACTTTGGAAAGCCAATCTGGATCATTGACGCCAACATGATCGATAATGGCCTTGAGAAGTGTCTCGCGGTTCATTTTCTTGGGATCAAATTGATCCCTGCCCAGGCTTAAAACTTCAGCCAGCGATGTCAAGTCTGAAATGGTCAAAGCTTTCCGATGAGATGCCTTTTCCAAAAAGAAATGCAACAATGGCACACGTGAGTTGACCACCATGAGAATCTGATTCCCACACAAAACTGCATCGTGAACCAGAACAGTCCATGCTTGCGGACTGACCACATGCACCCACTCTGCTTCTCCCTGCGGGTCCAAAAAAAATCCTTCAAAGTCGCCATCTTGATACAGACAAACTGGCCAAAACAATGAGCTCCAAAAAGCATTGCCGAGACAAAAGCCCAAATATTCCGGGAATCCATCACCAGCAGATCTGATCATGAGGCACAGCTCCACGGCAAACTTGCTGAAACATCCATGCGATATGCGGATTCCCTGTCGGCCCCTGTTGTCCTTCATGTAACTCCGGAGAAAACACAATGCAGCTGTTCCTTGATGCAATGTCTCTTCACTGATGGTTGCCCAAGTCTTCCTTGCCATCATCTCAGACCATTCCTTTGGTAGCCGATGCAAGCGAGCCAAATACCGCCTCAAGGACATATTTTTCATGCTACAGTTTCATTCATCAAAAATAATCATATGTAATGATTTCAAGCAAAGTGAACATGACAATGAAACACACTATTCCAGCCTCTTCCGCTTGCGATCCTTGGTCCTGGGAAAAGCTTCCATGAAGACTTCCTTCGTCACAAAGGCCTTGTCGTTGATCTCTCGGGTTTCAAACACTGACGATGAAGTAACCAGCTCTTGCAGTGCTCCAAGTGACTGCTTTCTGTTGGATCCTTTTTTTGCGTTTCTTTTCAATTTCCCATGTATGTCCTCGACAATCTTGGAATCTGGCAATGTTTTCAACATTCCACGAAGAAGATGTATTCCGCCAGGGCTTTGGGAGCTGTAGGAAGATTCTTCAAACGCCAGAAAGAGCAATCGAATTGGCGATGTGAAAACCAAATTCAGGTCAGTCAACAACTTTGGTGTGGACGTGCTGGTGGCTGCAACCTGTTCCAGCTGAAGCAAGTAGCGGTGATCAGCAGCCAGCAATGAAGCTGCAGCCTGCACTCAAAAAGAAAGAACACTCAATCACACAAAAGACTGCTGATACTCCACAACTCAGCTTAAAAAAGAAGGTAGTCAAACAGCAGCATTGTAGTTGGGCCCCCTAGAGTTGACAGTGACAGTGACTGTGTGACACTGTGACACACAAAAACACACATATATATATATGACTCATATGACAGTGACAGTTCAATGGCATAGGACAGTCTGACAGTGACATATTAAAAAGGCTTGACAGTGACAGTGACAGCAAATTCAGTGGTATATATACATAATTAAATATAAGTATTTAAATACGCCAAAAAAATGTCAATGACTGATGAACAATAACCAACCTGCCTCTTGCAGATCCCGGTCAGCTGAAAGCAAACCAGCGTAGCAATCCGGAGGTGCTGCTGACTTGGACAGTGACCAGAGGCGGTGTTTCAGCAAGAGTTGGCTCAACTCCAAAACCTTGGGCACTGTGTCAGAGATGCCCATGTTCAAAACCACTTGGAGCTCCTCCAGGTTCGAGGTAGGTAAAGCAGCAAGCCTTCTCAAATGCCGTTCGGACACCCACTCCCGTTGCAAACTAACGAGTTTGGCAACCTGATGATCAGCATGTTTGATCTCTTTGATGGCATGCGAATACCAACTCCAAATTGGACGGGTACACATCAAAATAATCCTGACCATCTGCAAGAGTTTCTCCGACATTATGTGGTAGCAAAGCTTTAAACCGCCTCCGACCTTTTCTTTCAGCCTGCCAAACTCTTTCCTCATGTTGGTCGCCGATTTGGTTCCATCATTGTTGGACTGCTTCTGTTGACGCTCTGCATATGCTTTGTCTGGGTCCAAGTTCAAATCGTCAAAGTGGTAGGCTAAGCAGAGTTTTAAGCTTGACCATTCTGGAACATTCTCCTGCGCAGATTCGTTCCAACTAAACCATCTGCTAAGCTTGGGCATGGTCTGCTTGGTGCTAAAGCCAGGCAGCAGCGGGAGTGTGTCCCAGACTTCCTTCTTCGTGGATGAAGGTTCCATACCGACCTCCTGGCGGATCTTCTCCCAACACTCGTCAAAGAGTGGACAAGAATCAAAGCTCTCTTTGGATAACATAAGTTCCAACAATCTCTTCTTGTCTTCAAAAAAGCCAGAGTTCCCAAATGGCTTGTAGGCCATTGAAAAGAGATATTGCGAATGGAACTGTGCTTGAAAGAACTCGCCACCAGCTCCATGCAATAACGCAAGTTTGACATCACGGATAGCTCTGTGTATCACATCCCATTTGGCAATGATCAATTTGTCCATCTTGCCAATGGCAAACCTGAGTTGGTCCGTGTAACTTTGACCATGACTTGTGTAATTGATGTTAACTTTGCCATTAGATATTTTGATGTGATCTGTGATGGGATTCATTGTCATTCATCCAGCTTCCAGGAAATTAGAATGTCACTGTCACTGTCACAATTGAAAATTGTAGACTGCAACACAGCAACGCAGCACCCCCGCAACAAGTTGGTCCTTGGCCAAGCTGAAGTACAAGTAGAGGCACATCTAACCACCAACTCCTTGCTTCAGGTAAGAGCATCTCACGTTCCCCATTGGCCGCAGCAAAGCCAGCTCGAACACGACCACTGTCATGTCTTTCAGTGAAGCGAGCTGAACCATGAGGCACAGCTTTCAGAACAACACCAGCTGGGAGTGAGAAGTGATCCAAGTTGGCTATGTGTCCTCCACTCAGCAAATTCAGTTGTTGACTCATCGCTTGCAGCTGACGGTACGACGCAACCCGTAACAGCTTGTTTTCCTGCAGCGCAAGTCAAAAAACAATCAACTGACCTAAATTAAAGTCTCTAGTCAAATTGCAAAGTAGTAGCATCACATTGATTGACCAGCATGCACATGTTATGTTTAGATTAGTTGTTAGTGTGTAAACTGGCCTGAATGTTTAACAATTAAATTAGTGACGACAAGCTGTCCTTTGCTAATTGTTCCACCAGCGACGTGAATTCCATCTCACCTGGAGCCACTTGCGTCAATGGTAGTATTTGCTGAATGTTTGCGAAGCAGGCAGAGTCAGATTGGTGCGAGTAGCAGATCGATACCAAAACCTCCTTTCCAGAATGTGTAGACGCATCTGCAACCAGGTTGAAATGGTTCACACCCACTAAGGACAGTGTAGCTCGTTGATCGTAAATGCACAGAGCCCTGCGGACCCATGGATCCACAGCTGTTGGCTTGCAGCCTGCCATAGCAGACATGTTCTCTTCTTGCAGTAGGTCAAGGGCACCTTTCATGGAGACACTGGTTTCTCTGGCTCGAGATAATATTGCATAAATGGCATCTGGGGTCATTTGCACCCTGACAGATGGCTTTGGCCGAACTTGTCCATCAAGTACACCAGCAGCATCTGGAGCATTTGCAAGCCGTCTCGATGGTATTGCCTTCAATGTGTTGTGTCGCGGGACATATTCATGTAGCACGTACAACTCGACACCATTGGCCAAATACTCCACAACGGCTCTTTGCAATTTATACAACGCAGATCCACTGGGGCTATTCTTAGCCCAAACATGGCCACCAGACCCTCTCCTTCGCCTCTCAACTCCAAAAATGAACAGAAGCAGCTCTTGGAGGGAAACCGTTGATTCTGATTCGCTATATAAAGAATCCTTCAAGTCACCGCAGTCAAACATAGCTTGCCATTCCTTTTGCCACGCTGTAAAGCAAGTGCGATGCTGAGAACTCAATGTGTTCTCAAGTCCTTTTACCAAGCCTGCTGGCGACAACATCAGCGGAGGCAAGCCTTCAATGTCAATGCTGACCGAGTGAGTCAACATTGAGCAGAATCTGCTGCAAAGAGATGGGACCCAATCTTTCACCATTTGAACCGTCTTTGCTGTTCTTGATTCTACCAAGCAAGAGCAGAGGAAAGCCACAATCGATCTTGTGGTCATCACATTGTCATGCAAGGCATGCTGCGGTAGGGTTGCTGATCGTGTGTGACAAAAAAACGCATCACCACAAAGGTCACTGTCAGAAACCTTTTGCTTGAAGTATACCATCCACTTATGAAGTGTTCTTTTCTCATCTCCATCAGCTTTGAATTTGTCATACAAGAAGTTTGCAGACCACCACAATTGTTGTGGTCCATCATCCTGCGTCACCAGGTATCCAGCTTTCGAAAGGAGAGCATTGTCTTCATCTAGTGTCAAACGCTGGCATCGCTCATGCACAAGCAACCTATCCTCGCCCATGCCACAGTGACATAAAACCAGGGTGAGATGACTCACTGTTCTTGGCAATTAGAGTACACTTGAATTGATAATACTTTGGAATGTGAAGCATCGAGTCACACAGAATGTCCATGAAGTGGTTTAAATTTCCAGTAATCTTGAGCAAGCAACAAACATGACATGAACCAATTTGCATTGCATTCCAAGACGTTTGTCAAAAGAGCACCAAGACATTTGTCAAAAGAGCACCAAGACGTTTGTCAAAAGAGCATGTGATTGTACACTTGTCGTTCTCACAGTTATGAATCAATATTCCATAGAGGTTGAGGCTGAAACCGACAAGCTGACCAAGGCCTTGTCAACACTGCAAACAACAAGTATGACTCTAGGCTCTAGACCATTGGCGTACTTACTAGAAACTAGTGATGATTCATCCCTTCACAACTATAAGCTCATTTGGCAATAGAATGACTAACATAATGATGACAAAAAGCGAATCAGTGTCTCGTCTCTTGAGTTCATGTCTTCAGTCTTGAGTCTGAGGTTGTCGCCAAACACCGGGAGTAAACTCAACTACCTGCTGTCTGCTGACTTGACACAAAGAAACAAACAGAATTATAAATACATATCAAACCTCCAGGTGGCTCTTCAAACTTACACACTTACATGCTACTGAACAAAATCACAGCTGTGAAACGACAATGAATGGTTTGGTCAAAATGGGTCAGAACAGTTCACCTGAAAAGCTTACCAGCCTGAAAAGATCGCCTGAGCTGGTCAGACAAGAAGCACACACGACATGCTCACCTCATTGAAACATGAAGATCATCATCAACATGATGTCAAACAGGTTGAAACCCTCAGTCGCATACTGCACCATTTTTACGCAGACAACTATAAGTCGAATGTCAAAGTCATTAAGCGCTGCTCAAGTCAGGGCAAGCGAATTGAGTCTCTCAAAATCAAATCTACACGTCGCTACACTCTATTGCCACTACTACGACGCCATTCCTGCAGCAGAGCATTGACAACACATTGTCCGAAGTGCAAGGTGTATTCCTGGCTTTCACGCAGGAGATCTTTTCGACCTGTGAAAGAGCCATCTTCACCTCTCGATGCTAATGATGAAGATTCAGCTGTCACAACAGCCGGCCTAGAGCGCTCCATGCAAAGCATGAACTCAGAACGAGACCAGAGTTGAAGTGGCTTGAGTGTGGGTCCTCCGAAACAGTAGTGGTACGTGTCAGTGCGGCGAGCGCCAATGAACTTGAGGACACTACTGACCACTGGCGTGCTGGGAAGGCAGCTGCTTCCTGGCTGTTCCAATCCATCGTGAAGGCCCAAGAAGAACCCAAGCAGCAATACAAGTCCTGAGATATCTGCTAGGACATTTCCTTGTTCCACGCAGAACCTATTTGTGTCCCCCAGGAAGCCATTGCTGGCGTTTCGCTGGCACACCGATGCTGACAGAACCACGAAACTGCTGCATGGGGTCGCTACCCACACCAAACCACCTACCACACTAGCTGTCAGAGCCAGCAATAGTAGGCGGAAGCCACTGGCCGACAGGACATCGTGGTTCTCATTGACGCATACATCCAATGACACACCCCGCAGCCCAGCAGCAATGCACGCCCGGGACAAATTGCCACGGCCACAAAAGAGCTCAAGATATTGCAATGTTGAAGCACCCCGGCGCCTGTGGTGAGCAGTCCTCATCAAAATGGCGATGAGCATGGTTTCCACTGGCCAGCCAAGCATAAACGGAAAGGCCACAGTGAAGAACTTTTGCCAAACTCTTTTGGCTCTGCCGCCATTTTGATCATCGATGTGAAAGAAGCACCTGAGCTCTTGTGACCACTGTTCCACCTGATCCGCATCACTGCCAGTCACAGCCCCATCTTGATCCAGTGGAAATTCACTTACTCCTGCCAATGATTCGAGGTCCACACATTGACTTGTTTCCTTGAACTTCTCCTCAATGACTGCGTTCCGCTCTTGCAGCACACGGATTTGCCGCTGGAGTTGCAGCAGATGCGTGCTTGCATTTGCTGCCGCCATTACGTTCCAATGGACACCGATTACACAGTTCTTGTTTCCAGTGAAACTAGTTCTGCGCTACACCTCACCTGCATAAATGTGCATAAATGAGCAAAAACGAGCAAAAATGAGGAAAAACTTGCCTGGGTGACTCTCATTTTGTCTCATTTTGTCTCAAATGAGCAAAAATGAGCAAAAATGAGGAAAAACTCCTTGTGTCATTGTGTCTCATTGTGTCTCATTTTGTCTCATTGTGTCTCATTTTGTCTCGCTTTTTCTGCTTCTCTAATTATGCTCTATGCTTTGTAAGGCGATGGTTGCAAGGCCTGTTCGGGCATGAAGCCGGCATTGTCACGGCCACACAGAGTGGACTAGTTCACTAGTGGTCAGTTCAGTTCACTAAGTCACAAGTGGTCAGTTCGTTCACTAGTGGTCAGTTCTATCCACTCATCCCTTGGCATCAGGCAACAACACACTTATGCTTCCACTGCCCTTCTCAAAATGCAACAACAACCACTCACCGCTCATCAGGCTTTGGCTCACAAGACGATCTCAGCCGCGGGGGCTTCCTGCTGTCCACCACCTCCTTGCCCCTGGTGAACAGGAGCCGCATTGGCTTGCTGAACCTGCTGCGCTGCGGCGCGAACATCACAGCGGTAGGGACACCATCCCCTGTTGTGCCCCCCAACGCGCCATGTGTTCTCCAAGCACCGCTTGTGCCACGCATGTCCACACTCCAGCATTTGAACCAAGCAGGACCTTCGCTCTCAGGATCAGGAATGGGCACCTGGGCATCATCATCAGGCACGCTTTGATCACCTGCATTTTGATCTCCTCCATTCCCATCACCGTTTGCATCTTCATCGACAGTGTTTGCTGCTTCCTGAGTGGGTCCACATTCAACCAATCAACCCAATACCAAAGACAAAAGACTGCTGACTACACACATATAACACTGCTCAAATGCCACCAGAGGAAGTCTTGCTATTTACTCTAATTATAAACCAACTTCAATTGTTCACACATCTAGTCTGGCAAGTCAAAGTCACAAACCCGATAGATTCCGATAGATCACAGCCCAGGAGCAGGAGTGGCCACCTCAGGGCCCATCAAACCAGCAGGAGGACGGGGAGCTACCTTGGGATGCGCCGCTGGGCGCGGAGGTGGCGGGACAGGCATTGCGGCGCCACCATGACGAACTGCACTTCCGCCAGCTGGAGGCGCAGGAAGCACTGCCGGTGGTCTGGCAGGAGGGGCCTTTTGCAAGACAGCTGCTGCCTGCATCATCTCTGGGATACGGCGACTGGTATCAGCATCACGCTGACTATCAGCCGCAGTTGCCCTTGGACCTCTTCCCCGTGCCTTAGGTTCCTGAATTGTCATCCACTCATCTTGCCATCCCTGAGCTTCCGCAAGAGCTGCAATGAAACCATCTGAGAGAATGACCTCTGATTTCATGGCTTGAACTGCTGCCTGAACATCCTGACAAGAAGCCACAATCTGAACATGCCTTTGGTGGAGCCTTGTGTTTAGCTCCCCATAGTCTTCACATCGAAGTCGGCTCACACATACCTGAGGTTTCTGTTTCGTCAGTAGCCAAATCATTCGACACAGGCCAGCCAAGCTCAAATCACTTGTGACCGTAGGGTCAAAGATGCCATCCACTGCCTCCACAAGCTCTGAAAGTCGCTTCTGCAGGGTGTGAGAGTTGCAACAAAACAATTGAAGATGATTCACATTTTGACACAAGCAGCACATGGTTTGCAAAGCCATTCAGCACAACCAAAAACTCTGTGCATCTTGACTTGGCTTTAAACTAAACAGATGTGCACAGTCAAAATTTGAATCTGTCCTTTGGAAGACTGCGGATCATCGCCGCGCCCCTGTGGATCTTCTTCTCAGTCCCCCCTGAGCTGAACAAGTAAGCACGGCGATTCCTCAAAGACTCAATGGCATATTGTTGAGGATTTGAAGGTAGAGGCGCAGCAGGAGCAGCACTTGATGGGTGACCTGAAGAAGCGTCTTGCAACGGTGGCGCACCAGAGGCTTTGGCCACAGGTTCTGTCCTTTCATCTGATGAAGAATCCTCTTCGCCTCCACCCACTCCAGCCGCAGCCATTCCATACTGATTCATCATGGCGGCTGGATTCATCATGGCTGCAAACATCGGATTCATCATTGGGTTCATCATAGGATTCATCATGGCTGGGCCTGTTCGAGGACGCTTAGCACCAGAACGACCACGGCCCATTGCTGAAAACAGCGCTGGATACCCCGCAACTCAGTTTAAGTCACTCCAGCCTGATGTTTCAAGCCAAATGCTTGGACAGGGGTGACGTTCCTGAACTGAACAAACACCTTCTTCAAATCTTCAAACTCATAACAAACAAGTCAGAGTCTAAGTCAGAGTCAGAGTCTAGCATTCACATGAGTGGCCATTCACATGAGTGGCCAATACCCACACACAGTGTTGATTCCTGACAAAAAACACAGTTGGGCGTTTCAACCTTCAATGCTCCAGGATTTGAATTGAACCCGTTTCTTTCACGGCAGTCAATGAGATGAGCCCACTCTAAATTAATTGGCAATGGCCCCAGGACCATTCGAATTACCACTTTCGGCACACACACACAAGCTCTAGGGCAAGGTCAGCCCCTGAGCAGACTCCTGGCCAAAAACATATGTTTTTCAAAGGTTCGTTTGGACATGTTGTCACACAGGCTATCATTAAACACTTCAAACCCTAGCTGTCTCAGAGAATCAGGGATCGCCTTGGACTCCACCCTAAACTTGGCAATGAGGTCGATAATCACTTGGCGGCGCTTGAGTCTCCGCAACGCAACGTTGGCATTGGAGACAACCCCCTTACCATCTGAGATGTCCACGTCATTGTCATGGTCAAAGTCACGCAGGTTTGCAGAGGACTCCATGAAAGAAGAGCAATGATCAGTGGTCAAGCGCAAACTACAATCACCTTGAGC